TGCGGGGGTCGATTTCAAACAACCCGTTGTGAACTCGCATTTTAACGGGTGCAAAGAATGTGTCAAGAAACGTTTTCTCCTTCTCAAACATCCACATCTCGAGAAGTCCATTCAACAGTTTTGATTTGACGCCATGCATCGATACATACGACGAGAAAAAGTCTGCTTCGATGTTGTGGATTAGAATGAATTGGAAAATTTGCTCGGTGAGATCGTCACCGTCGTTGAGACAACACAATAAGACTAGTCCTGCCAAACAGTCGTCTAAAAGAACGTTTCTAAATTGAATGATCCCAACACCAAATCGATCAAAAAACTTCTTCAAAAGATCGTCGACCGTCATGGATTTTTCAACTTCCAATTCGATTGATTTAACACCCTTTTGAAGCTCTTTAGGAAGGTGGATTTTCACACTAAATGGAAGATTAAGAGGTACACTCGGCTTACCAATGGTATACTCTTCATATGTTTTTGCAACAATGGGCTTCATGTTTTTAAAAAACTTTTCAACGGCTTGTGTGGAGCGAGGGGTGTGCTTCATAAATTCCGGGATAGTGATGGGGATGTTTGCCATCTGTTATGGATTCTTGAAAAAGGAGTTCATTCAAAGTTCCGTTTAGCTAAAACTATTAAACTTTTACTAGTGAAGTTCTAGTTTATCAAATTATTTCTTTTGATTCTTTTATTTGTTTAGTTGGTTTGTCCAGTACTTGGTTTAAGTTTATCGGATAATATCATATTAAAAAGATACCACAACTCTTTGAAATGAAAAATATTTTTTAATTATTTATCCGATATACGGAGTTTGGTTAAACTACAACTTGAGTCGTTGTTTAAAATAGAATTAAAAACGTTTCTTATCAAAAACAATCGTTTTAGTTTATTTAATTAATTTGTTAATAGCAAAATAAATCAAATTGAAATAATAAACTATATTTTGTAATATAATTAACAACAGAAATAGTTTACTTTTTATAATTAATCAACCATGTATGATTTATTTTAAAATTGTATTGTAGATACTAAACTAAACTTTTGGGAAGCTATATCTGTACTTATTGAGATCCTCGAGAAACTCTCATGAAAATATGAAATTCCATCGATGAAAATTCGTTGTATGACACTTTCTATTTCTGTTCATTAGATTATTAACAGACCAAAATAATAATTGAACATAACCAATGAAAAATTTATATTTTATAATGTCGTGTTTTGTCCCTTTTATTAATAATAATTAGTTATATTATTTATTACCATAAACGTTTAAAAAGACGATAAAACGAACAACAACTGATATAATAAAAGATTAAAAAATAAAGCATAGTACAAGACCCATCAGCGCAAATATTGCACCACATGAACTTCTTGTATTTTTCCTCTCATTGACTTCGCACATCCCTTCAGTGTTACAACTTTTTCCATCAATACACTTTCCACAGTTTGGTTCGCACCCCACTTCAAAATTCCCGCCTTGTGGTGTGCACTCCATCCCCACACACTGCATTGTATTTGCTTCACATTCTTTCAAATTCTGGGATGTTGTTTGTCGTGTAAATGTTGCGGTTGTGACTTTAAGTTTTGTGTCATTTCCCGTTGTAATAAACAGGCCAATAACGTTTGCTATTTGTTATTTCAATGACACCAAACTTATGAAACACAGACAAATGTGGCAGATAAAAATAGAAAACAAACCAAACCCCTGACACTCATTCTTTGAGAACGAAATATCCACCACCCCACTCTTTTCTCCTTTTTGTATTTTGAAAGGCATCTCTGTGCAGATATTTGGATTTTTGAATTTGACTTCGTTGTTAAAGTCGAGGATAGACAAACGTGGATCGTTTATTTCAAAGTTATTGTTTTCAAATTCGAGTCTAATACTGAGTTCCACAAAAAGGTCAGACATTTTCGAAACTGAGGGATACGTGAAGTACAAGAATGCATCTTTGGAGTCATCTGGAATGTCAATTGATGAGATATTGAAGACATTAAATTGCTTTGAAATACCCGATACATTCAAGTAAGGTGTCCATACAAAGTATCTATTCACTGGAGAGCTTGAGTGTGTATTAAGTGACTTGTCAAATACTAAACTGTTAGGGAGGAAGTGACAGACGTCTTCAGTTGTATCTAGTGGAAATTGTGTTTCTGTTGTGATGTCCTTTTCATTTGAAAAGTTTGCTGCTTTGAACAAGAGGACTTTGTTATTAAAATCGATAAGTTTCACGTCGACTGGTTCAGTAAATAAAGGGAGTGAATAGCTCCCGTCTTTGTTAATCAAATAAGAGATGCCATTAATAACAATTTTCTTGTGGAGAGTTTTAGTGTTATACACTTTCACAACCATCCCTGTTTCAGTTGTATTAATGACGTTGATGCTTGGGACCGTTTCAAATGGGCACGAAATAGCTCGGACGGTGACTTGTGACGCGTGATTAATAGAGCCGTGAACAACAGTG